CAGAGCCCCTGACTTTGGTTACTTTTCTAGAGCTATTCAAATTTACAAAAAAATTTAACCACTATTTGATCTTTAGTTTGAAATGGAACACAAGCTAGAAAAAGGATGTGGAACTCTGTGCAGAGGTTCTTGAAGAGGTACACAAACAATTCATCAGAGAGGACCCAAAGGAAGACATCTAACAAGCAAATCATAGTTGACAAACTTGGAGAAACTTTTTTTTAAGATGGAGTCTCACTTTTGTTGCCCAGGCTGGAGTGCAATGGCACAATCTCAGCTCACTGCTGCAAACTCCGCCTCCTGGGTTCAAGCAATTCTCCTGCCTCAGCCTCTCGAGTAGTTGGGATAACAGACACCCACCACCATGTCCTGTTGATTTTTGTATTTTAAGTAGAGACAGGGTTTCACCATGTTTGCCAAACTGGTCTCAAACTCCTGACCCTGATGATCCACCTGCCTCAGCCTCCCAAAGTTTCGGAATTACAGGCGTGAGCCACCGTGCCAGCTTTTTTTTTTTNTTTTTTTGATATGGAGTCTCACTCTGTCGCCCAGGCTGGAGTGGTGCAGTGGCACAATCTCTGCTCACTGCAACCTCCACCTCCCAGGTTCAAGCCATTCCCCTGCCTCAGCCACCCAAGTTGCTGGGATTATAGGCATCCACCACCACACCTGGCTAATTTTTCATTTTCAGTAGAGACAGGATTTCACTATGTTGACTAGTGAACATAGTCACTAGTTCTGACCTCAAGTGATCCACCCTCCTCAGGCATAAGCCACCACACCCGACCGACAAACATTATTTTTAAACACTAATTTCAAAGGAAGATCTCAAGCATAATAGTTAAAAACAAAGATAATTCAAAACAGGCAGACCTAAAAAATGTAACAAAATTTGGCTCATGCCTGTAATCCTAGCACTTTGGGAGGCCAAGGTAGGCGGATCAGGAGGTCAGAAGTTTGAGATCAGCCTGACCAACATGGTGAAACCCCATCTCTACCAAAAATACAAAATTTACCCGGGCGTGATAACACGGGCCTGTAATTCCAGTTACTCAGGAGGCTAAGGCAGAAGAATCGCTTGAAGCCAGGAGGCGGTGGTTGCAGTGAACCAAGATCGCACCACTCCACTCCAGTGTGGGCTACAGAGTGAGACTCTGTCTCAAAAAAAAAAAAAAAGGTATCAAAATTTTAAGTGTAAACTTTACAGCTTTTCTCTGAACCATTTAGGTCATTTTAAAAGATGATTCCTTGCCATGCTTAAATCTGTGGGTTCCACTGACTTGCATCCTAAGAGAAGAAAACTGCCCAAGTAGCACTGTGGCTGAATTCAAAGATGCTGTTCTCCCACATCTTCATTTTACAGCACCTAACAGTTTCTGGAAGACAGCACCCAGAATAATTGACAGGATTTGTAATGCTTCAGTATTACCAAAAAAAAAAAAAAAAAAAACTATGCACACATACTTCCAGCATATGAACAATTTTAACTCACCAGTCACCATGTTGCATGTATTTCTGTTGCTTGTCCTGAGTTCTTAAGACTTCTAACATTCTGAAGAAGATAGAACAAAAAAGTTCCTTCCATCCTCAGCCTCTTTTTATTAATAATTTTAACTTTGTTCTTAAAAAAAAATACAGTACATTAGAAAGAACTACCCCACCATTATCAAATTTGATTGCCAAGTTTACTTCCTCTTAGCTTCCTTTTCCTTAAGCTTAATTGAGCAAGACTGTAAATTATAAACTAGCAGATGTTTTGTGTTAGAAAACAAAAAGTGCATAATTCTCTAGGACAAACCTAGAACTTCCTTGACACCAAAACACAGTGGCGGGGTGAAAAAAAAGAGCTGAAAAGGACTGAAATCCTAAACCAAAAGTGACTTTTACAGCGATACACAGTCAGATTTTAGGAATTTCTGCTGGAGATTTCCAGAATTTCAAAAAAGGTATAGCACTGATTCTCAGGTTTTCAATTTTGTTCCGAGGCAGCTTTTTGGCTGAGGCAACGGTGGGCCCTTAGTATAACAGACTAAAGCAAGCCCCTCCCACCTACGCAAAAGAAAAAACTGCGTTTAAGGATTTAAAGTAGCATTTTACAGCTCGGAGTTCACAACGTCCACATAAGAGAATTCCCTTCCGGAGCGCAGAGGTGACGTGTACGAATTGCGCTTATGGACGTATTAGTTTCTAATGAAAGATAAGCAGGTACCTGCCCGACACACAGCTCAGTACAAGGTGAGGTAACCCGAAGGGGCTCACTGCCCTCTCAAGCCAACAGGGCTTGGTTTCTGAAGCAGAGAACCACCCTACCCAAGCACCCACCCCACACTTGGGCCTCAAGTAACGGCATTATTAGAGGAGAACAGGCAGTCTCGCCCCCCTCACAGAGGAGCGGAGCCGCAAGCCAGACAGCAAAGCTAGTTTGTTTCTCTTCAGGCCTAGGCCACGGATGCCCGAGAACGTCACCAGACCAGAAAAGACCCAATCCTCAACCTTCCCCACGCAACGCGCCGCGGCCGGCCCTCCGCTCAGGAGAGGCCTCATGCGCGCTCTCGAGGCGGCACCGCCACCCAACATCAGGGCGCGCGCACCAAAACTGGGGGTCGTGGCGGGCGCACGCCCTGAAAAACCTCTCTTGCCCGCGGGCCAAAGCTCACAGAGCAGAGATATCCGGGCGAGGAACGCGCACGTCGGCGGCCACGCGCACCGAGAGAGCCGCACAGCGCGCGCGCTCCCGCGCGTAAAAACAGGTTTAGACGCGCGCCCGCACCAGCGCGCGATGTCGCGCCGCGCCCACCCAAATCCCCGGCCCACCCCTCCCCCATCCACAGGGCGGGGTACGCGAGCCCAGGAACGTTTTCAGCTCCGGAGCCGCCCCGAGCTCTCAGGGCCCAGCGGTAGCGGCCCGCCCGCCCCCGCCCGCCGTTGTGTGGGGTGGGCCCACCGTCCCAGGCCCACAGCATCGCCGCATCCTCGCCCACACTAGAGCCCTCACCCGGCGACGTCACCGCCGCCGCCGCCTCCGCTCTACCCGCCGGCCCCGCCGCACCGCCCGGGACCCCGGTTCTGCCGTCGTAGCTCCAAGACCGACAGGGTTTTCTCCTCACAGCTCCCTGGGCGCCATCTTACATTCAACCCTCACAGCCAATGGGAGCCGATTGCTCCTCTCGCGAGAATCGGGGCGTCGGATCCCGCGAGATCTGGAGCTGCCTCCCGGCCAAACTTAAAGTGAACGCTTCAGCAGGGGAGGCAGGCCGCGCCTCTGGCTGCTAGAGCGGTTCAGGGATCCCCGGGCGTGGAGCGACTCGCCCCGCCTCTGGACGCCCCTCCGTGTGGGGCGGAGCTAGGGCGGGGGCTTAGCCTAGTAGTGGAGCCTCTGAAGGCTAGGACTCGAAGCTAGCTCCTTGGACCCACCTTCCGTCGCCCGCCTGAGCCTCCTTTGGTCGAGCAACCCCTACGCGGGGCGGGGCCCGGCCGGGCTCAGCCTCTCGCTTAAGGTGGACCCTGCAAACTTCTCTCCTGGGCTCGGCGTCCCCAGCCGTGCCCCGCATGGGAAGCCTCTAGAGCTCTTACCTCCTGAAGGACCCACCCCCTGGGACCCCCGCCAACTGCTGCCATCTGAGTTCAGCCTTCCGCAGTCGGGGCCACCTTAAAGCGGGCCCCTTGGTAGCCTGGTGTTTGTATACAGGGAAAATGTGGAAGACGTTAAAGCTGCAGGCACACGCAGGCCTCAGCAGCAGCCCACACAGCCCCCAGAGGGCTTCCAGCCTGCTGTAGACTCCTTTTGCCTCCAGGTTTTTGCCCTTGTTCCTCTTATCCTGGCAAGCTCCCCATAGTCTTTTGTGATTCCCTTCAGAAGTCACTTCGTGAGAGTAGTCTTTTCTAAGGCCCAGGCTGGGTCAGGAACCTCTTCCAGCCTTGCACAGGGCCCAGGGAGAGCTCTCCCATGCAGTGCTTGGTCACCCCTTTCCCCTCCAGTGAATTTCGAAGTCTATCACAGCCATGTATGCCACATCTCACTGTGCCTGGCACGTAGTAGGCACTAAAAAATTATATGCTGAATGGGCCGGGCACAGTGGCTGACGCCCCTAATTCCAACGCTTTGGGAGCCAAGGCAGGTGGAACACCTCCAGTCAGGAGTTTGAGACCAGCCTGGCCAACGTGGTGAAACCCCGTCTCTGCTAAAAATACAACATTAGCCGAGTGTGGTTGTGCATGCCTGTGATCACAGGTACTTGGGAGGCTGAGGCAGGAGAATCGCTTGAACCTGGGAGGTGGAGATTGCAGTGAGGCGAGATCGCGCCATTGCACTCCATCCTGGGCAACAAGGGCGAAACTCCGTCTCAAAAAAAAAAAAATTATATGCTGATTAGGTGCAGTGGCTCACGCCTGTAATCCTAGCACTTTGGGAGGCTGAGGTGGGCGGATTACCTGAGATCAGGAGTTCGAGAGCAGCCTGACCGACATAGTGAAACCCCGTCTCTACAAAAAATACAAAAATTATCCAGGTGTGGTGGCGTGCGCCTGTAATCCCAGCTACTTGGGAGGCTGAGGCACGAGAATCACTTGAAGCAGGGAGGCAGAGTTTGCAGTGAGCCAAGATGGAGCCACTGCACTCCAGCCTGGGCTGCAGAGTGGAACTCCATCTCAAAAAAAAAAAAAAAAAATTATATGCTGAATGATCAGGCTGGGAGCCAGACCTCTCTACTTCACACCAGCAGAAACAAACCTTTTAGATCCCTTTGGCACAGGGGTCCTAACCAGGGCCCTCCATTCTCTCAGACCAGGTACAGTGGGTATGAATCCCACGCGGGCCCCTGCCTTTAAGCACTGAAAAGTGCACCACTGCTTTCAAAGCTGTCAGTACCACTCTTTTCTGGGAAAGCCCATTCTCACAGACAAAATGTGCAAAAGGCACATTACTCCCCACCCACACCACCACTACCAGCATGTCTCCAGGGCCCTCAGATGGTGGAAGGGCAGACAGATAACACACAGACTCCAGCATAATTTAGCTGTTCTTTATTAACATGGAATTTGGGGTGGTGAGGGTAGCCCCAACCTCCAGGAGGACGAGGTAGGTTCACAGTGTTGCTAGCTCACACCTTTCCCGGGTCTTCCTTCAGTGTCACAGTTCGGTTAAAAACAAGCTGGAAAGCAGAGCGAAAAGAATGACCACCTCTCCAGAACAAGGCCAGGGAGTCCTGGGCAGGTTTCACCACAGACACCTCCCCCTAACTTCCTTCTTAAGCCAAACAACCTGGGGACTAAGGATCAGGAGACCCAGGTCCTCTGTAACTTTGTGACTTGGGCAAGGGACTGGATGGAGCTCTAGGCTATAGTTTTTTTTGTTTTGTTTTTAAAGACTGGGTTTCACCATGTTGGTCAGGCTGGTCTTGAACTCCCAACCTCTGCTGATCCGCCCGCCTTGGCCTCCAAAGTGCTTGGATTATGGAGGTGAGCCACCACGCCTGGCCAGGCTATAGTTTTATATGGATAACAACTGCTATGTTTGCCTCCTACTTTGAGGAGTGAGAAAGGCAGGGTGGGCTGCGCACAGTGGCTCATGCCTGTAATCCCAGCACTTTGGGAGGTTGAGGCAGGCGGATCACCTGAGGTCAGAAGTTCAAGACCAGGCTGGCCAACTTGGCAAAACTACTAAAAATATAAAAATTAGCCAGGCGTGGTGGCATGTGGCTATAATCCCAGCTACTCGGAAAGCAGGAGAATGGCTTGAGCCTGGGAGGCAGAGGTTGTAGTGGGCCAAGATGGTGCCACTGTACTCCAGCCCGGGAAACAGGGCAAGACTCCATCTCAAAAAATAAAAATAACAGTAGGGTGGCTGGGCACAGTCAGTGGCTCATGCCTATAATCCCAGCACTCTGGGAAGCTGAAGCAGGAGGATTGCTTGAAGCCGGTAGTTCAAGACCAGCCTGTGCAACATAGTGAGACCTTGCCTCTACAAAAAATTTTCAAATTAGCCAGGCATGGTGGTGTGCACCTGTAGTCTCAGCTACTGAGCTGGGAGGATAGCTTGAGCCCAGCAGTTTGAGGCCGCAGTGAGCTATGATTGCACCACTGCACACCAGCCCGGGCAAGAGTTAAGACCCTGTCTTTAAAATAAATAGAAAGGTTATTAGCTGCCTTAATGAAAGATATTAAAATAATAATTATTATATATATATANGCCAAGCAGATAGCAGCACCATGCTCATACAGCCTGCAGAACCATGAGCCAATTCAACTGCTTTATTTATTTATTTACTTTTTTTTTTTTTTAAAAGACGGGTTTCACCATGTTGGTCAGGCTGGTCTTGAACTCCCGACCTCAGGTGATCTGCCCGTCTTGACCTCCAAAGTGCTTGGATTACAGGTGTGAGCCACCACACCCGGCCTATTTTTTTTTTCTTTTCTTTTTTTGTAGAGCTAGGGTTTTCACTATGTAGGCCAGGGTGGTCTCAAACTCCTGACCTCAGGTGATCTGCCTGCCTCAGTCTCCCAAATTGCTGGGATTACAGGTGTGAGCCACCACACCCAGCCCCAAAAAATAATAATTAAAAAAAAAAAAAGCCAGGTCTGGGCATGAGCCACGCCTGTAATCCCAGCACTTTGGGAGGCCAAGGTGGGCAGATCACAAGATCAGGAGATTGAGACCATCCTGGCTAACATGGTGAAATCCGATCTCTACTAAAAATACAAAAAAATTAGCCAGGCGTGGTGGCATGCGCCTGTAGTCCCAGTTACTCGGGAGGCTGAGGCCTGAGAATCGCTTGAACCCGTGAGGCAGAAGTTACAGTGAGCCGAGATCGCACCACTGCACTCCAGGCTGGGCAACAGAGCAAAAAATAAAAAATAAAAGCAGCCTTCATACAAAATTTTGTGCATGAACTTATCCTTAGTGCCCAGTTTCCTCATTAGTAGAATATGGACACTGACCTCCTTAGATGGTGAGGATTTACTAAGGGAATGTAGGCACAGCACGTGGTACAGCAAATGGCAGCCACTGTCACTGCTGCAGTTAAGGGCAGGTGGGTAAAGTCAAGCACCTTTCCCTGATGGCTGTCTGGATCCACAGAGAAGTACCCAAGACGCTCAAACTGGAACTTGTTGAAGGGTTTTGCCAGGGCCACAGAGCAGTCCACTAATGCTGCCTCCACCACGCGTAGTGATGCCTGCAAGCAGGGAACTCAGGCAACCATCCAACCAGGGAGGCCTACCTCCCTCATCCCAAACCCCATGAACCTACTGGGTTCAGGTCACTTAAGAATCCACCAGGCACCTCAGTAGGATCTTCAGGGTTCTTGTGCTGGAATCTGCAGCCAGAGTGAAGGTCATACCCCCAGCTAGGCAGCCACAGCAGGCAATGAGCATCTTGTACCTGCCCCACCCCAGCTCTATTCACTCACAGTCGCTCATAGAGGCGAACCTCGCACGTCAAAGGCTGTGACACCCAGTGAATAAAGGCCTTTGGCTTCTCTCCAGCATCTGCCCTTCTGCAGGTCACCTCCAGACTTTCTACACAACCACTGGGGCCCTAGAAGCGGGGGTAGGGGAGCAGCAATTAGACCCGGGAACCACGACCAGGATTGCAGGCTGCACTCATATCCTGGCCCCAGCAGGCACTGCAGTAGGAAGGCTGCAGTTGGCTCTCACCTTGACAACACGCTGCAGCTCAATGACGTAGCCTGTATGCCTCAGGCCCACAGGCTGGCCCCAAGCCAGGCGCTTAAAGCCTGGCTCTGGCTCCTAGAGATAGGAAGTAGGGTAGACACAAGAGACTGCAAGGATCAAACAAGTGGGGAGGCTTCCCCACTGCCATGTCTGGCAAGGATTGGTTCATCAGAAGCAGGAAGTAGATGGACTGACAGAGATGAGGATGAAAGATTCCCAGGACCAGACTCAGCAGCAAACAGGATCCTCTACTCCCACCATTTACCTCCTTGAAGTCAGTCCTCTCAATGAACACAATGGGTGCGAAAGGAACCTGATGGAAGCCTTTGGTCTCATCAGCTGGGAAGTTGGGCACCTGGATGTCCAAGGACTAAAGCAGGAGACAGGTATGAGTCATACTCAGCACAAGTACCCCCCATGCCCAGGGCCAGGTGTACCCCTACACACACGCGCGCGCGCGCTCACACACACACACACACACACACGGAGACACTCATGTTGAGGCAGGCCCACCTTGGCAGCAGGAAAGTTGGTGATGATGACCCGTAGTGACTCCAGCACAGCCATAGCTCGTGGGGCTGTGTCATTCAGCACATCACGCACACAAGCTTCCAGAAGATGTGGCTCCATTGTGGTCTGTGCCACTGTCACTCCCACCTGGCAGGAAGGTTCAGCATCAGTCACAGCTACAATCACAAACTGCCACACTCAGCCCCCATCTGTCCACCCAACCTGCTGGACTATACCCGGGCACAGAAGTTGTTAATGCCCTCAGGTGGGAAACCCCGCCGTCGCAGGGCCGTGAGTGTAAAGAGCCGTGGGTCATCCCAGTCCCTGTGGATAAGAAGGTGGTGGTGAGAAGGCCTTTGGGAGTACATGTCATTAACCTTTAATAAGCCAAACAGCCACACCTACCGCACAGCACCAGTTGCTACAAGCTGAAGGATCTTCCTCTTAGAGACAACAGCGTAGTGTAGGTTGAGGCGGCCATACTCCCACTGAACAGGGCAGTAGACGTCCAGTGCATTGCAAAGCCAGAAGTAGGAAGAGCGTCTGGGGTGCGAGAGTAGGGTTAGGACTGGCCAGCTCTGGAACTAGGCAGAGACCACAGGAAGGGCTGCTGGAATTCCATTGGCCCTACCACCCCATGGACCCAGCTCCCTCACCGGGCCTGGAATTCCTTGGTGCAGAGTGAGTGAGTGATGTGCTCGATGGAGTCACAGAGGCAGTGTGTGTAGTCGTAGGTGGGATAGATGCACCTGTGGGGCATAGGCAGTAGGCCCTACCATCCAGCCCTACTCTGCCCTATCCCATGGCCCATTGCCCTGCTCCACAGCCCCACCACCCCACCCCATGCCATACCCACCATTTGTCCCCTGTGCGGTGGTGTGGTGTATACTTGACTCGATAGGCTACAGGGTCCATCTTGCCATCCTCCATCACCAGCTTCATCCGTAGTGTGGCCTCACCCTCTGAAAACTTGCCCTTGCGCATTGCCTGAGGAGAACAAGGACTCAGCCTGTCTCTAAGCATGGGGGTATCTCATCCTAAGCACCTTGGCCCACCCAAACCCAAATGCTCCTCTAGGACCCCACCTCAAAGAGCAGCAGTGACTCCTCCATGGGACGGTCTCTCCAGGGTGAGGGCAGAGGATTATGGCCTTTGAGCTCCTCCCCTCGCTGGTGACACACATAAGCCAGACCCCTGTGGGGAAGGGGTGTGAGTACCCAGCATGGCTATGACCTAGTCAGCCTGCCTGGCTCTATGTCATGGCCCTGGCCTTACCTGCGGATGAGCTCCACAGCCCAGGCATATAGCTGGTCAAAATAGTCAGAGGCATATGTCACTCTGTAAGGTGTGTAACCTGGGGCAGAATGAGACAAAGTATGAGCACCCAGCCAGAAACACCCAGTGGCAGGCCATGGCCCAAGGAGAGGCCCACTAACTACCAGCCCTTCTAGGCTTTGCCCAGTCCATACCCAGCCAGGCCACCATGTCACAAATGGCAGTGAAGAACTTTGCTTCCTCCTTCTCAGG